AAGACTCTTCTTAGTTCGTAAAATTGGCATGGGCTTATCTTCTTCTGGACTAGTGGAAAGCGGTGTATCGCCGCTTACGACAGCCACAGGCGTATGATGTGAGGTCGGGATAGGTCGATTATTTGTTAACTGACGGCGCTCACTATATGAAGGACCTGCACCGTCTAGAATGACGTCGATATCGTGATCGCGATAAGCCTGGAAGATGTTGACTCGGTAATTTGGCTACCACAAGAAGAAAAAGGTTTCAAACAAATTTCCATTAATTGAAATGATCACTTGCAATAAAAATGCTCTCATTAAAAATTCAGTAAACGGGATGAAAGAAACAAACCTGAAACTTTGTGAATGGATTACCCTCCACGTAAATATGTTTTATTCCATGTAGATCCGTCATTCTCTTGACTTCTTCCCAATCATTTAATCGATTCTCACGTACATCCACGTGCTCTAAAGACCATAATCTCTCTAGTCCGCACAGATTTTCAATTCGATTATTTCTTAAATCTAGTCTCGTAATGTTATTAAGAATCTGATAGATGCCGGTTACTGTCTCTATCATGTTACTGTTTAGGCTCAAATGTTGAAGGTTAAACAACTGAGACAGTCCGGATGGAACAGCAATTAATAGATTGTTCGATAGGTCCAAGTGCACGCACTCGGTTAGGTAAGAAAGCGGTTCATTTGCAACGAAGGTGAGTGAATTGTCCGAAAGGATTATTGTTTTTAGTTGAACCCAGATCTTGGACGGCAAGATGCTATCCGGCGAGTAATCGACCAGAACTCTCCGAGATTCCTCGGGTTTTCCCGCGCCTTCGAGGGTTTCATTATCACCTGAGTTGGCTTTAATGTTTTTTTGTCTTCTTTTCAGCCCGTCAACCACACTATCAACGAATAACTCATAGATGTCGTCAATTGATCCTTGTTGCAACGATAAATATTCCAATTTTTCTTGCAGTACATCCCATCCATCAAGCATCTTCGGAGCTATCCCGTTGACTTCCAAGTGAGTTAAATGTTTAAAAAAGGGTAAAGGTAATATGGAATTGATGGACCAATTTTCCGAACCATCAATCCTTTTTTGTATGTTGACAGCAAGTTTAAGGCCAGAAAGTTTGGTAAATGCACGATATATGTAATGTACTTCTTGCTTTATTGGAATATTTTCATTCTTTTGAGCGGCATTGTACCACCCCTGCCATCCTGAAAACAGTGATAGCGAGGACATGGCGGACGACACCGAACTAACCGAATTCACGGATGCAACTGACATTGTCTCCACAGGGTCGTTTATGTCAATATCGATGTTGTCACCTTCACTCCGCTTACTATCAGCGAATGCTTCAAAAGGGCCAACATCGAGACCCAAATCACTAAACCGCACTAGTAAAAGATATAAGTGGTGAAGATCAAGGGTGACCAAAATATTTTTGGGGCTGCCTGCAGAGCCCGAGGGTGAGGTTGGAGTGGTTGGTGTTGTCGAGACGGCTTGTTTCAGATAAGAGCTGGTCAAAGCTGCAGAAAAGGACCAAAGATTGGTCATGGAGAAACTACCACTGCTATCTGACCTTCTGTGACCAGTTAGGGCTGACGAAGACGGAGATGAAGGAATATTTAAATTATTTGTAAATATCCGTCGTTCGTTCGAACGAATGTACTGAGCCAACGTGCGAATATATTGTTCTTCTGTTACGCTCGTAGTCATTTGTGCAGTTTCCCGTTTGGAGGTAAAAATTTCGATATACTGATATGTGAAGGAAGTCGGATTTAGAAAATATAGTCGTACTCTCATGTGACCTAACTGGATACGTCACGTCAAATTCGGTAGATCACCAAAACTAGCATATCACTGAATACATTGTTTTGATTTTCGATCATCCATAGAAAATGCACCAGCTTTTAGGAGGCCAGACCAAAAAAATAAAAACTTATGGAAGAAAACAAAATGAACGCGTAATTCCAGCTACCAATGCGTTGAAACTCGAGAATGACACGGTTTCCGTCGTGAATTCGGAGAGTTTCAATTTCACCTTGAACCACGTAAAAAATCAGCAGTCAAAAGGCAGTACACTCGTTAAAAATATTCCCATGTCAAAACATTGCACCTCGCCTAACAAAACGGGGTCGCATGGGGAGAAAACTTTCGAAGGCGAGCAAAGACGACGTGAAAATGCATTAACCGACAATTCAATGCTACCAGACAATGCCTCACCCGAGAAACATTCGGTGTCAACAGAGGGAAATGGTAAAACGTCATCATCCGCCGAGGATAGTCGTCTCCCGCTCACCCCCAAAAATCCGAACAACATTCAATTGCAAGTTAAAAAAATCGAGCCCACTAGAAAACTCAAAACAATGGTGAAACCTAAATTGAATCGGTCACTAAAAATTTCATCCCCGATAGAATGTGAAAATGACAAAAACCATTCTGATCAAATTTATGCAAACCAAGCTTCTTGTAAAGAGCACGAAGTGGAGTCGTTGTCTAATGAGGTTAAAGTTCTATTGATTGAAAAGTCACAGGAAACAAAAAAACCAAAAACCATTGAACAGCTTGGCGCCAACAACACGAGTGTTTCCATGATGATAACCACGGGACTGACGAAAGTTGCTAGTTTGCTGTTACGAAACAAGAGTCAGGAGAGCGAAGACGAATTGACAACATTGTTGAAATTATGTGATCAAAAGAAAATATACACTTTCGATGAATATATCGGAGTCGAGTGAGTAACTCCATTCGAACACTGTGACGCGATTCATCTCATATTCCTTAGCCTAATACCTCCTAACGTGAATAGATGCATGAGGAGCGCGGTGAAGATAGGAGAGGCAAGTTTCTCTGAAGTGTTCGCCGCATATGCACCCCAATTTACTGCCAAAAAGGTCAAAAGCGTCTTCAAAATTATTCCTTTCGGGCGAGGCAAGGAGATCCTTATTAACGGAGAAGAACAGTGCAGCATAAGAGATATTTCCCAAGAGGTCAAGACCACTCTTGAGTTGGGAGGACGAACCGGTCTTGATCCCAATTTAAGGGTCGGATTCTTGCAGCTATACAGGTATAAAGTAAAAGTCTTACGAGATATGCTACTATCTGCATGCTAATCTCCACATCTCAAACACGACGATTTTAGCGTGGCCATTTGCCGAGGAAAATATCCAGAGTTGTTGCTGAATAAATGGGATCGTTGGGACGCGGAACATAAATCGGAGAGCAGTCGACCAGGTATCACTGATTCTATACAATCATTTATTCACGTGTCGAGTGCAAACTAACAACATGGTGCCAACCGGTGAAACATTCGCGTAGACTACTTTGACGAGAGACAAGTATACGTCGTTTTTGTTGAAGAGCATGGCGGCCAATCTCTGGAAACTGCAAGGTTAAAGAATTGGGCACAGGCGTGGAGTCTCCTTGCACAAGTAGGCTGGAGTCTGGCGCAAGTTGAACAGGTGAAAATTTTGGAATTGTAACTTTCGTCTCTTGACATCGCATTAATTTACCTAATGATTTGCGTTTGAAACCGTCAGTCTCTTAAATTTGAAGTATGTGGAGAACATAAATCGCTCTTTTCCCTTCCTTCCAGTCAAAATCCTAAGATTGTCACTTGTCTGTTTTCTAGCACCGCGACCTCCATTGGGGGAATATTACGATAAAATATACAAAACAGGCAAGAATTTCGTATGATATTGCTTCGGATACGAAAAAAGTCGAAGTGCCGACATTTGGGATTAAGACATCAATAATAGACTATACATTGTCTCGGATGGAGCGTGGTGTGTAACAAAATTCTTTTTAAAATGGGAATTTTTGCAATTTAACAACTCAATAAGTACAAAATTATGTAGATCAAGAAATTATCTATGTAGACATTTCAGATGAGAGTTATTTTACAGGTCAAGGTAGGTCGAACACATTTGTTCACGCGTTTTAATGAGGACGCAATCGTGTTGAGATCGAATTTTTGTAGGTGACCACCAATATGATGTTTACCGGAAGATGCGCGAAGAGACCAAGGGAGATTGGAAATCATTTTGGCCAAAAACTAATGTATTTGTAAGTTAAACGAAATGGCGTATTCATTCCTTATTTGCTTATCCTTCCTCTTTTTGCTAACAAACGTCAACAAACATGCATTGGCAGTGGCTTCGTTATTTAGCGGACAAACTTCTGACGTCGAAAAGTTTACCGAAACCAAGAAAAAGCAATGATCAACACCCTTATTATCATGCGATATTACAATTTGAAAAAAAGGCGGAAAAGTATAGCAGCGCGATGGAGGCGATGAATAAAGATGAATCATGGCGAATATAAATCACGGTTTTAATATTTATTTATTAACATCGTTCATTAAAGCCGGTGGAAACTAAAGTCATGAAAAGATGTTGCATTTCCCCTATTGACAATCATTTCGACCGACATTTCCTTTCTCTTGATCAATACAACAGTATCTCTTGACCATACGTCTCTCTTAGCCATGTCTCGAGAAGATGAGATGTAAATTACGCAAATTTGCGTTGTACGAAAAGTCAAGCCAGTAACCTTTGTAATGTTGTAAACCGCACGGTGATGCATATAAATAAATTAAATGACTTTACCAATAAAAGGAATAATTCCAATAATCAGATCGAGCACGACATGCATCGGCATTTTGATAATGAGCATTAAGGGTATTTGAAAGAAATATTTGATACATGATCAATATCATAATGAAAACACCTTTATGAAACATTCCTACTATCGGAATCGACTCAATCACCGTTTCCGAACTTGGGGAAGAAAGTGTGTGAATTCAAACGGTCATAAATTTAACTTTGTTTACCATTTTCGAACGGTCACCCGTACGACAAATGGGTAATTATTTTCGAAGGCGGACAGGAAGTTTTCAGGCCCCAGAATAACTACCCCGAAAATTCATATTATAATA